GGCTCAGAGTGAAGCTTTCAAACAGTTTATATAGTGAGAGGTTAATCAGCAGAGCTGATTGGAATCAGCTGAGTGCTGAGAACCAGCTCCCAGGAGGATCCACAGCGCCCTCTGGTGGGCAACCTCTGGATCCCAACAGGAAAAGAAGCCCACAGGAAGGGATCCAAAACAGCCCTCTGGAGGGCAAACCCTTGGATCCCAACAATTTATACACTTAAGACCAGGGGTGCCTAACCGTTTTTAAACCAAGATCTAATTTTGAAGTTGATGGCATGCCGAGATCTACCAAGCCAAACACAAAGGATGACAGTATTTGTTTTTTATTTGCACAGGTGGAGAATAAACAGTAAGTCCAACAAACGGGGAAATGATCAATTGTGTCAAAAAAAAGATTGCAAAAACAGAACTTAACAATCTCATAAGAACTAGATGGAGCCCCATCAGTTGCGATAGATGTCATTATCTCATTATCTCTTCAGATTCCTCTTCGCGCTTTAGAGTCCCTGGTAACCTAGCAACCGTGGCAAACCATGCCCAGCAATCAGCATGCATAAAAAAGGTTCCCTGCATACTTTTTACTTTTCATTTTATTATTATGAAAATAGACGTTGGCCTCTCGGGATCAATGATTTGATTAGTGTTTTTTAAAACGTTTTTTTTTTGTCATAACCATAAATAGGTCTACATTGTAAAACTTCTCGACTGAAACTCCGCCCGCGAACGACTGGTTGGGCACCCCTGCTTTAGACACTTACACATACATTTTAGTTGACGGGCATCTTACCCCACACGCTTCCATTAAAATAAACCTTTGGTTCTCTTCCATCATTTAAGTCGGAACTGCAGACAGAACCTGGATCAAGAAGCAGCTGTTATAGAACCCAACACTGGAGGAAAAGCAGCTATATATGATCAAACAAATTCTGTCATCCTGGTCACTGCAGCTACAAAACAGGCTGAAATTTAATATCCTGAAGTTTTGACACTTATCCAGGAGTCTGCCAGCTCTGTCAGCTGGCACTAGAGCTGACAGTCTGTTAGAGAGCTTATATTTGTCAGCGTTATGGAGGCCCATCCTCCTAAACACATGTTAAGGAGGATGGGCCTCCATAACGCCTGAAAACATCAGCGCTTCAACGACAGATTGCTGCAGTGTGAACCGACCAGAACTGCCAAAGACTCCTGGATAGGTGTGGAAACGTTTTCAGAAAGTCCAGTTGCCTCCTATTTACAGTAGCAGCCATCCAAAATGGCCCTTCCCAGCCAAACGCCTGTAGAATGGCAGCCTATTCCCCTGCAACTCCCTGAAAAATCCCCTCCAACTTTCAGCCACTGGCATTTTTCTGGAAAGGACTCCATCCTTTCACTGAATTACAGGGTCTGACCAGGAGATGGCGCTTCTCTTTAGACCTTAATATCCAAAAATCATGACAGAAAGAATATTTTAGTACAAAGTTAGATGTTTAAAAAGGAATTGTAGGGGAGCAGCCAAGGGCCCATCAAGGAAGCTGGGGACATTTTGAATGGCTGCTACTGTATGCCTGTTTTGTGGCAGCAAATTTTCCTTTAATTTCTATTTTCTGTGAGACAAATTGAATTCAAAATCAGGCTGCAACACATTTGAAATAAAGGTTCTCCCAGTTTCCTCGAAGTTCCTTTTCCCTTTCTGCAGTTTTTTCTTTAGATGTTCTACAGTACAGGATGATATCAAAGCTGCCCAGATTTTTCAAAATGGTTCATTCAGATCTGGTCTGTAGAGGGAGAAATCTGGGCCGTTTCTCAATTCACAAGAACGTGAGTACGGACCTGTGCACTCGCCAAGTATGTTCTTGAGAAGAACACAGGAAAGACTCTAGGAGAACGGGATCATGCAGCACAAAATAGGTCAATTGGAACAGGAGCGTACTGATGACATCATCTCACGCTCGGCTCGTCTGGAGCTGCATTTCCCCTGTTATTAACAGTAGCTAGATAATAATAAATTCTTATTTTTTCACTTATTGGGGGAATAATATTAAACACAGTCAGATAAACACGAATCAAATGAACATTTTGCCAAACAAAAGAAAAACCTCGCCATCAGAGCCAGCTGTAGTTCACACGCGGCTATGCAGAGAGAGGGTTGCTGCAGACGGGCTAACGTTAGCCTTGGCTGCTGCAGACGGGCTAACGTTAGCCTTGGCTGATGTTACCCTAGGAGCTCCGCTGGTTGCTGCGGTCCTCTCAACTTCAGGACTTTCTTTTTAAATTACGCATTAAATCAGTAAACGGGCCATATAGTGACGCTTAAACGTATAATATTCTCACCTCAAGTGATCTTAAAAGGTAGTTTTATTGAACAACGGCAGCAGAAAAGAGAACTTTTAGCTTAATACTCTGAGCTCTGTGAGCACTCCATTGAAAGCTGCTGCTGTCGCAGTGCATGCTGGGACGGCTGTCAATCTCAAGAACGGACACGTCTCCCTGATGCATGCTGGGTAAAGAGGAAGGGGCGAGAACAACATCCGGGGACTTTGTGTGTTCTCGGTCTGCTGTTCCTGTGAACAGTGCTACGGCTGATTCTGATGACGTTTCACAAGCACAAGAGATCGCACAAGTACACATAATGAGATAACGGGTCGGGTCTGGTCTCCCAGTGAGGAATGCTAGTTAATAATTTTACTATCTTCCCTTTAAGATTAAATCACTTGTTTGCACATAACTACTACCTCTAAAAAAAACTTTTTTTCTGTAATATCTTTCAACATGGAAATCTGAGCAGGAAGTTTCTTTACAGGCAGGAAGTAGAAGTTAAAGCATAGAAGAAAATAAGTCTTTTTAAATCTAAAATCTTTCCACAGGGAGTAGAGCGCCCCCTACAGACATAAATTAATACCCAAGCTTGTCAACTCGTCTGTCGTGTTCTTTGTTGTCTTTCATCTCCTTTGTCTCCTCCTCTCGTCTCCTCCTCCTCTGTCAAAACTAGAATCTGCCGGAGTTCTGGAGAAACTCCCGAACGGAAGCGCAGGGCAGCAGGAGGAGGAAGGAGGAGAGAGAAGGAAGGACAGACAGGAGGAGGAAGAGGAGGAGGGGAGGAGGAACTACTCCTCTGCACCTCTCTCTGGAGATCCTGTAGGAACCGGTCAGGATGAAAATACAAACAGTCATGAACAGGTAGACGAGGTGAAGAAAGAAGAGAGAGAAGAAATGACCCACAGTGAGGAGGAGGAGGAGATTAAGGAGCAGCTTCCTTCCTCCACCAGTATTTCTCCTACCCAACAGGAGGAACAAGTCCAAGAAAAGGAAGACATCATAGAGGAGCAGGGTGGAAGGACCGGAGAGGAGGGTTCCTGCTCCTCTCCAGCATCTCCTCCACGTGAAGCAAGAGTCGACAACAATGACGAGACAACGGAAGAGAAATTGGAAGGTGAGGAGGTGCCTTTAGCCGAGGAGATCCAGGAGGAGTCTACAGAGATCTCAGATCTCCAAAAGAATACCTCCTCCCATCAACAACCTCCAGCAGAGGGAAACCATCTAGCTCATCCTTCAGAGGAGAACCTGATCGGGTCCGAGGCGCACTGTAACCATAAAACTAGCACCTTACTGGACCCAGAACCTCCTGCAGAGAAGAACCCAGATGCTTCTACACAGGAGAACCACTCCGATCCTCTCCTGGCTCACCAGGAGCTCCCAGCCAACAAAACTCCCGCTGCTCCTGCCTCTAAAACCAGAGCGCCCCCTGCAGGTGCAAGACAAAGACACAAAGAAAACTCCCCCTCTGCTCCTCTTAGAAGATCAGGCGCTCCTCCTCCCCTCAAAGGTCTGTCTTGCAGCGCCCCCTGCTGTTGCTACCGCGCTTCCTGCTAAAGCGCCCCCTGCTGTACTCCCTGCAGCCGCACCCTACCTCTCTCCGCTCCTCTTCCTGCTTCCTCTCTTTTATCCATCTATTTCCTGTTTACCCTTTGGGCACCTCCCTGCTTGCGCCTCCTTATCACTCGTCCTCCTCATCCTCTTCCTCCTCTGTGTCAGTTTTCCGGACAATCCCTCCCGCTGAAGGTGACACAGACTGATCACTTACCGTTCGACCTCCCTGTTGTCATGGAAACTGCCTCATCAGTCAGAATCTGTGGCGGTTGTTTGATGATATTGACGATGTTATCTTTGTCCTCAGGTAAAGCGGCGGTGAAGGAGACAGCTGATGAAGCTGGGGAGGTAAACTACCGATCTGTTGATCAGTTTATTGCGTGTTTACACTTTATATCTGGGTCCTAAGTCCAGTTTTAGAGAAGTGGTGGAAATAAAGCTCTACACACTTCTGTCAGACTGTAAAGATGAATTTGATCTATTTTCAGGTCTCCAGGGCAGCAGGGGGCAGCAGAGCCGCAAAGATGATCTCAGGCAAGAGCACAGGTAGATCAAAGCAGCCACAACCACTGTGATCCGTAAGTCCAATAAAAGCAGTGCCAACAGACTCCTCCCTGTCCCACCTGTCTGCCAGAGTCCGTCGATGGCGTCAACAGTCCAGGAAGTCGCTCCCCTGCCAGCAGATCGTCCACCCCCAACAGAGATGTGAAAAAGGTCTGGGCACCTGAACGCATCAGAGACATTCAAACACCTGAGTGGATACGGGTTCCTTTGACCAATACATAAACCCCATTTACACTACCCTTTTGAAACCGTGGTACGCAGAACTGAACCGGACTGCGCCAGACACAACCGAAGCACGCTAACATGGTACTAGTTGATCAGTAGGGCTAGGCGCGGTTCAGTTCTGGCACCGGTTCTCAGATAACAAAGATCGTATGAGCAGACTGCGTCATCTTCTTACAGTCAAGGACTGGTTGTCCTCCCCCAGCAGTGTGTCGTAGTGAGCTTGTCGCAGGAATGACACAGACATACAGCCGAGGTGGTGAGAAAGTGGGGGCAAGTTTGTCTGACAAGGGACATAAGGGGCAAAAAAAGAGCAGGAATCCAAGTGGGAAAAGGGTCCCAGCAAGCCGGTACAGTACCAAACAGGAAATACGCATAGTGTAGAGCGGATGTAGATTTGACCAATCAGAGGCCTTCTGTCTGCGGTCACCTACAATTTGGGGGTGGTCCAGCAGAGTGTCTCCAGAGGGGGTGGGGACGTCTCTGCATTCACTGCAACACCTACGCAATCGACCTAGTTAAATCAGCCTTCAGCTTTCGTAAACATGAAATTTCCGACATACTTAAAAATACTAGCTTCCTTACTGTGCCGCACGATTTCCAGTGATGATTCTGCTTTGCAGTGTGATGAACCTCAACGTCTGTCATTGTTTCCTGCATCTGTAAGCCATGATTAGATTATCGTTTGTCGTATCCACTTCCCAAAAGCTGACTGTCAAGTAAATCCACCAAAGGCTGCCTTCGCAAACCTCCTGAATGTTACAGACGCTGCCATGTTGATTTGCTTGTTTACTTCTAGAGAGCAGGAGTACAGTAGATCGTACTAGGTGGCAAGTAACCATGCCAGCGTGGTGTGTAAATGGCCGTAAGGAACCGAGCTCTGCACAAATCGGTTTTCAGAGTGTAGTGTAAATGGGGCCATAAACACAACTGGACACGCCCTCCATCTACTGGCAAGACTGTTTGTCAACACCGGCCTCCTTACACCGCTGTGTATCTAAAGAAGGACATTCCTGGTGTAAATATACAATCCCCTCTTAGTTCAGCAGTTTATACCCAAGGCACTATTTAGCTTTTCTAAAGGCATCTACATTAACATCCCATTCTAAAAGACCAGAGCATAGCTGCTGGAAGTGGCGGTGCTGCAGCACCCCCTAGTGATGAGAAGGAGATTAAAAAATATATATATTAGAAATACTTTGCACAATTTATATATTTCTTAAGGAATACTTTGGGAAATTATTTTGACTTTTTATATTTTATTTTACATGCATTTGGATTCTAATTTAATTCATGGAAGTTACGTTGTCATGGCAACGTCAACCAAGCTAGAGCATGGTATCCCGCTCACGATAGCAGACTAGTAANAGCAGACTAGTAAATTTACATAGTCTAATGACAGGAACGAGGAGGAAATATGGCACAAAAACACATTTCAGATTTGTCCGTTCTTGAGAGGTTTTTTTATTTCCTCAACCTGAGATTGCACCAGAATATTTGGACACCTGTAACCATGGCAGGGTGCCCTGGCTGTGGCCTAAATAAAGACCATGGTGCCGCCACCTACTTTCATATCTATCCGTGCAGTTTAACGTAACCATAGTATTTTAGAGCATTATTTTGATCTTGTGTTCTTTATATAATGGAGAACTGTTCGATAATGTTTAAATAGATAGTAATATAATTATTTCCTTGTGGTTTGTGTAAAATAACTTTGGAGTTGATAGTCACGTGTAACATATTGTTTTTGTGAAGTTTAATTAATAGCGCATATATTCACCTGAGAACTGATGATCTTTATGTGTCACAGACCCTTGTTGCGTGCACTGAAGCATATATGATAATAAAGTAGTGAATCTCAGCCTATTTACTTATTTAATTTTATTGCATTTAAATTGGCCTATAAGCTCATAGGTCTGGACCAGAGGTTCCTAAACCTTTAGCCTTCTGACCCACAAAACAGAACCAGATTTATTTTGTCATTTTGTATACATGAGAAAAAAAGGAAATTCGTTTAAAAACAGCTCTAGACAATTTCATTTTAAAGTGCAGCCTTGAAAACAGTAATAAATACATTTAAAAAAGTAATATAAACATATGACTGTATATTTACAGTTCTAACATTAATTATTTATTTTTTTGAAAGACAAATATTTAAAAATACTCTATGAACCAGAGGTATACAGTAATAGTTATAAAAACAGCACCAAACAAATGTATTTGTATTTTTAAATTACTATGAGTTTTTTTTTTTTTTTAGATCTTTATAGTAGTGATGCATTTTAGCGAAAGGATTTTTATCAAAAGCATAATTAATGTGCACAAATGAGGAATAGTTGTAATAACTATAAATGTTAACAGAGTTTTATGGGGCCTCCAGGAACTGCCTGGAATTGCCTAATGTTAACCCCCCCCCCCTAGATGTAAGTTTGCAGGTCTTTTCCTTGAGTCAGTCACAATATTGGGCACAGTAGGGAAAAGCAGCAAGTAGTATAAAATACCACAAACACTTTGTAGACAATGTTTCCCACGTCTCGTTTTNGAGTCAGTCACAATATTGGGCACAGTAGGGAAAAGCAGCAAGTAGTATAAAATACCACAAACACTTTGTAGACAATGTTTCCCACGTCTCGTTTTAGCAAAGAACTGAGATGTGTAAAATATTTTGGGTTTTAACAGAGTTTTGAAGGAGTTTGGGTATAGGTTCAACTGGTCTGCTATTTGAAACCAAACTACCTGTCAGTGTTTGTCAAAGGAGGTTTAACTGGTGATTTCTGCAGGTGGCAGTGGTCCGAACACCCCCCAGATCTCCTGGTTCCACTCGTGGCCGGACACCTCCCCTCACCTCCCACCCAATGCCTGACCTCAGCGGCGTCAAATCTAAAATTGGATCCACGGAGAATCTGAAGCACTCACCTGGAGGGGGCAAGGTAACACCTGGCTGTGCATGTGTGTGTGCTGTTGTTATTGTATAAAAGAAAGGACAATTTTTACCAAAGTGAGAACATTTTGCTGGTTCTCTGCTTTTTTTTCTCTTGATTTCAATTCAATTCATTTTCTTTCTATTGCACCAATTTACAAAACATCATCTCAAGGCACTTTCCAGTTCAACCAGATCATCCAGTCAGATTGATTCAAAGTTTTCTATCTAAGGAAAATCTGTTGATTGCATCGACTCATTGACTCGAATGCAATCCCTCACACTGAGCATGCTTGTAGCGACAGTGGAGAGGAAAAACTCCCTTTTAACAGGAAGAAACCTGCAGCAGAACCAGGCTCAGTGTGAGCGGCCATCTGCTGAGGCCCACTGGGGTTCAAGGAGACAGAAGCAGACATAGAAAAAGCAGCTGCAAACAACAGCCCCATCCAGGAAACACACAGCCAGGCAGACGAGCTCTGACGAGCTTCTTAGGTTTAGAACTAAGGTGTGAATTGCATTCAGGTTAGGTATGCATTAGTAATGGTTAGGTTTAGAGTTTTTGTTAAATTTGTCGATAGAAGTTGAAAATATGAGTTGAAAAGCAATTAAAGTAGATAGGATTCAACACATTGACCTCAAAGCTTATAGAAGAGGGGAATATGTTTGATGGTCGGCCCTGACCTGCATACCTGTTCACCTACAGGTTCACATTGTCAACAAGAAGCTTGATCTGAGCAACGTGTCATCAAAGTGTGGGTCTAAGGAGAACCTTCACCACAAGCCAGGTAAGTCACTCCAACCTGTAGTCATGACATCATAGTCAGGAGGAGCAATCTATCAAACAATCGAAAGATAATTAACTGTTGATTAGAAGGAATTCCTTCTGTTGTTGGATTGTTGCTGCTTTCCACTTGAAAGCCGTTTATTCTTAAAGGAAAAAGTCAGTTCAGCAAGAAATAATCAATGGAATATCATCTATACCTAAAACTAATATTGTTTGCGGTAATTTAAGGAATTTAGCGTTAAGCAGTAAAAAAATAAAAAACAATAATTTTCATTACGATCATTGAGTCTGGGAGCGGCCATTTTTGCCCAAATATAGTAGCCCCTCCCTCCTGCCATCTTCCAGCAGTGACGTCACGGTGCGGTAAGCCTAGCGCCATTCTCCCCGCTTTCCAAGCTAAATCAATGGGAACTACTAGACACATCTGCAATCAACAACAATTATTGAAGATTTCCAGAGGACTTCACCATTGAAATTCACCAGAGCTATAGTGAAACTGACAATGCCCACGTGCATGGCAGCTGGATGCTGGAATACATCGGGTAAAAGTGAAAAAAAGAATAATTTCCCCTTTCCAATTCCTGATCCTCGACGGACGGGTTGGTCGTTGGATCGCCAACTTGAAGAGGGAGGATTTGCCATCGAACTTCTGGCCAGAGAAAAAACCCGTAATATGTAGCCAACATTTGGAAGAAGAATGTTTTCAAGATGACTTGGATAATAGCGCGTTGTGACAAACACCAGATACAGCACTGGGACTTGATCAACAGCCGATACCGCACCGTGACGTCACTAACCAGTAGGTGGCAGTAGTGTTCTTTGACAAACATGGATGCCTCCAGTAAAGCACATTCACATGAAAATTACTCTGAATTATAAACACTGATCATTCATTAAGCAGTACGTAATAATTTCATATTTAAAGTACAGAAGTTTGAATTCTGAATTTGACCGAACTTCTCCTTTAAGCGGTAGTTTACTGATAATAGGAAGAGAAGTTATGTCAGCTCGGAGCCATGTTATATCTTCTGAATAAGTCCATTTTATCATTGCTCAAGAAATGTTGTGTTTATTCGGTCAAATACAGCTGGAAATATCAGTTCTTAAAATAGAATAATGCGCTACTGTTTAATAAATTCAGTATGTTGTTTAAAAATGTTTGGGCCCTTAAAAACTGGAAAGATCCTCTTGATACAACAGGAAACTGACAATTAAAAAATAATCCCTGCCTTTCAATTTAAGTCCATCAATTAAATCAATCACAGATTAATTTATTGATCAATAACTTGCATCCCGAGTCATTTATGGATTCTGTTTCTAAAAAAAAAAAAAATAATAAACAAGTGTGATGTCATATCTGAGCATGTGCAGTGTGACAGACTGTGTGTGAAGCTCCGCCCCTTCTCTGCTCCTCAGGTGGAGGGAAAGTGGAGATCAAGTCTGAGAAGGTGGATTTTAAAACTGTTCAGTCCAAAGTGGGTTCCCTGGAAAACGTCACCCACGTTCCAGGAGGAGGGAAGAAGAAGGTACATGCTTATAAAATATTAAATTGATTTATCTTCATGTTTTTCCTATTTTTATTTACTCTTTTCTAAATATGTATGTTTTTTAAAGTCATAACTACAACTTTGACATCAAATCAATTACAAAAACGAACACATCCACAGAAGGTCTATTGTGGTCCAGTTTAGAAATATAAATTTTACTTAAAACAATAAAATATATGGATAGTTTTCTCTTTTTTTCTGCACCGATAGTATAGATTGAAATCACTGAACTGGAGGTCAGGTTTGCCGGATCCTAGAGCTGAGAAATATCTTTTTCTCTGACGCATGTTTCTCAGATTCAAGCCAAGAAAAACACTCAATCACAGGGGTAGGGTCAGTGGCGCCTCCAGACATTTTTCATAGGGGATGGCCAGATGTGGCCACTAAAAATCTTGGGGTGACAAACTGAAACTAAAAGCCATAATTTCAGGGTTTGAATCTAATATTGTGGTAAACCTGCCTGTAGAAATCATAAAGACTACCTAATCATATCTTGGTAATGTGTGATTTTTAATGTTATGTCGTTGGCTGTGCAGAATGGGATGAAATGCTAAACAACATTTTACTCTGTGGGGTGGCCAGGGCATTGCACAGGGTGGCCATCGCTATTGGCGCCACTGGGTACAGTACAGTAAGCCACGGCGGTCCAGCATTTCGTACCAGTTAAAGGATTTAAGAGTTGTACACAGTTCAGGGAAGAGCTGTTGCCCGCTGCTTTGTGCAACCAACTTCAGTACGCAGTAAGAAAAGGCTCCAGCATTAAATCTCACACACTACTGTTTAATTTGTGTGTGGTTTGCATTAAACTGTGAAAACCCTCTGCCTGGTTTGTGTGCTCAGCAGCTCAATGCTCTGCCCTCATAGATCAATAGACTATATATTGTGCTATAGGCTTAAGCTGCTGGAGGGTCTGGTGACTACTTTTTTTCTACTATACTTTAGTTGTAAAGTTAAACTCTTTAGTTTTTTCTCTCAGAGAGAAAGCTACTTCTGCCATTGGTCCCTATAAGCTTGTGCTGCATGAGGGATTGCTGCAAAGTAAACGACACAATGCAGTCCACTTTCAATACGCGATATCAGTAAGCTTGAATTCTGCAGGTCAACCTCTCGACTTGCTACGTCTCCTTAGATAGAAAGCGTTTACATGGTTTTAATAAACTAAATCTGACTCCATTATTTGGTTGGGATTAAATTAAACGTACGTACACTTTTTTCTTGGTTTATATGACCGGATTTAAATGCATTTTTTTTTGTAAAATGCCTTATGGCACCTTGTCCTGTGAATTAAGACAAATCAGATGAGAAGTTTTAACTTTTCTATGATGACATAATCCTGACAGAAGAGCTCCACCAACAGGTTAAAAACCCTTGACGTGACAGGTAACCCCAATTTCTAATTCAGTCCTCTTATGGAGGACAAACCAATTGAAGTAGTTCTGAATGTAGCAATATTTTCTATCTAGATCTAAAGATGTATTCTAAATGGGAAAAACTCTACAATGTCAATAAAACTTGATTTTACTCAATTTATTCGTATTATTCTTTACAGATCGAGAGCCACAAGCTGACGTTCAGAGAGAGCGCCAAGGCTAGAACTGACCATGGTGCTGAAATCATCATTCAGGAAGATTCTTCCCCTCGTCGCCTTAGCAACACTTCCTCCCATGGAAGCCTTAACACTACTGAAGCTCCTCCCCTCGATACCCTGGCCGACCAGGTGAGACAGGCTCCCTCACATCATTGAATAAAACCTGGTAATCCGTTAATAACCAGCCTGCTCCTGCCAGGTGTCTGCATCCCTCGCCAAACAAGGCCTGTGATGGATCCAGCTCCGTGCCTGCAAATCCCGCCCTCTTTGTTACCAAGGAAACCAACAGACCAGAAAGAAAATATTTCTTCCTTCTTCATCTCATAAAGTTAAACTGTGATTGGAGAGATGTTGTGATTCAGAGTTAGTCAGCCACGAAAGTCTCAGGAGGACAGGAACCAATCATGCTCGTGCCGAGTCCGGTTCTTTCAGAGCAGCTTATGCCAACCCTACAGGAACCTGGTTTCCTTCGCCAGGCCTGGGAAGTTCAGGTGATCAGCAATTTCCCCGAGTGAATCTATTTTATCTTTCTGGCTAGCGCAGGTTCTGGTTCATTCACCTCTTTAGAAACTCCTGCTTCATCCATCACCCAGAAGGAAGTGTTGGTTTGATGTCATGATGCAAACCCCAGGTGACCCGTAGAGGCGGTAGGTGGACTAAATGTTTGAGGGAATTGAACAAGTAAGACCTTAAGCAGAGTCATAAAGATGATGAAGGGGAAATTATGATTTTTAAATAAATCCGTGAAAAAAAGGGAGACATTTGGATATAAATCAGGTTGACGTGAAACAATTAGCGCATGAGCGCCCCCTACTATCCAGTCCCAGCTGAGCTCTGGATCAGCTAATTCTGTTAGTTTAGATGAAGGAATGACTAAAAGATCTTGCTTGGAGAAAAATAGAATCAGAGCAGCTTTAGGATAAAAAGAAAACAAAACATGGTGCTCATTTTTAACAGAATAAATTTAGTTTCCCATGAAATAAACCAGAGCAGCTGTCCCAGAAACCATAAGAAATCCAGGGTTGATCTTAGGCACCGATTTTAACAGATCATATTTTAGCTTCTTCAGTATCAGTGGAGGCCAAGTGGATCCTGTGATTGGAGGCCAAGTGGATCCTGTGATTGGAGGCCTCTGGGATCCTCCTCCAATCAAGTGACTCTCATGTCATGTGACTGAAGCTGGAAAAACAAAATCTCTCCAATCACAGTCTGACCGATCTTATCCAAATACCACCCCTTCAGTTTTGAATGTGACTGTGCTGTTGGCCCCTCCCAGCCCATTGAAATTACCCAGAATGCCGTTTGATACCAGGTGCCAAACCACCGCTCTGTCTGTGCCTGTCAGCTGTCAAAGTGCTTTGGAACAATAAAGTTTCTCTTGGCTCCGACTCTTCGCTATTTTTCTTTAAGGGAAGCGCCACCTGGTGGTGGTTACGGTGTGGTACTGGACTTAAATACAAACAAAAGAAAACAGCAGACAGCAGGTATGTTCGATTTCAGCAGCTGCATCCTGCATTGGAGATCTGTGAAGAGTTTTGGCTATGGAATCAAACAGGTCCAGCCTTCTCTGGCTTTTACCGCCTGTACGCTCTGTCGCCTAGCAACCATGACAGTTGATACATAAAGCAGGAAAATAATTGATACCGAACTTCGCACTACTGTTCTGAGTGCTAATAACATTTTGGAGGAGCTTCAGCAGCAGTACAGTCATGGTGAATATCATATTTATAGTCCCCACACTGCAGACATTTGAATCTATGCTTAAAGCAAAACACATTTTCAAAGTGACAGATAAAATATTTCAATAAACCAAACATTACACGCCACATATCTGACTCAATAACCATTTAAAACTATTTTCATTCATTTCAGACAGAACTATTCATACACTTATATTAAACTGCACTTACAATATTCACCACAGTTTGGCGCCATTTATATTTTTCCTCTGAGCAGAGAAGCCTGTGTAAAACAAGTTATTCTACTTATAAAAAATTAACAGCTGTTGACAGGAATTTAAAAGTAGTGAAGCTTATTATCGCTAACTGAGCGAGCTAAAATAGGCTAACCTGTTGGCTACTGAGCACAGCTAGCCACAGCGCTAACAGGCTCTCCCCCTGTATTTCATGGTCTAACAGCTTTCTTGTTCACCATAAATGGATATTTTTCCGTTTTGTTACAGATACTACAGCCTCTGCATACGGACGCTGTGCGATGTTATTATCGTTGCCCGGGCAACCACTTTGTTTTACATCATGTGGCAACGTTCAGCCAATCATGTAGCGTGACGTCACTAGCTTGCACAGGGCCCGAGCAGATCTGGTAGCTACAGCGGCTTGCTTGGACTCGCAATGAATCACAGAATACGCGGGACACACCGGATCCGTCCATCCAAATGAGCAAAAAGGCGGCTACATTTGTCGCCACATGAGCAGGAGTCTTCCAACAGGTCTCGGCGCCGCGCTATGACGTAATCGGCAGATGAATCTTGCCTTCGCAGGACGCAGCCCCTGGATTCCAACTCAGCAAGCAATGAGTTAAATAAGATTCCTTCACTGGATTTTATTAAAGTGCCCAACAGCGCCCTCTTGTGCTCACATGTTTCTGTAAACATGCCACCTCTGCAGCTTTCAGGCGCGTTTACATTGGAACAGAGAAGGCATGAAGGAGTGAGCAGTGTTTACATGTTTTATTTGTTTATTTCCAGGACGTTAAAAAGAACAGTTAAAAAAAAAACCCAGCTGTGATGTCACAGGGTTAAGGGGTGGGGCTTCAGGTCAGCAGCAGTCTGTTTCAGCCAGTCAGAGGATTCGGGAGGAGGAGGGGGGGGAGGGTGGAGCTAAACATAAATTTATCTGTGGGCATGTCGTCTAGAAACATGGTAGAGAGGAGACGGGGGGGAAACAGGGGGGCGGGGTTAAAGAACATCGTCGCTCTCTGGCGTGTGGAGCTGCGTGTCGTCAGCGTCCGTCATGAAGCTGCTGTCCTGACTGTCCTCCACCTCGGCCACTGCAGAGACATGGGTGAGATGGGTGAGATGGAGACGGGTGAGACAGAGAGAGAGAGAAGTGGAGGAGGCTGTACCTTCGTCTTCAGGCAGGTATCTCTTATCGATGGCTTCTTTAATCTGATTATTGGCTCCTTTAGGGTCCAGGTCCATGGCCCAGCTGAAGTTCATCAGAGCCAAGTGGGTCTGACCCAGC